GGATGCCCTACATTTCTGTGATGCAGGACCAAAGTATATAGGCAATCATGGCGGTGAGGACACTGCTAAAAGATTGATTGATTGATTTGTGGGGTTTAACGTCCCAAAACCATGCTATGATTATGAGAGACGCCGTAGTGGAGGGCTCCGGAAATTTCGACCACCTGGGGTTCTTTAAACTGCACCCAAATCTGAGCACACGGGCCTACGACATTTCCGCCTCCATCGGAAATACAGCCGCCGCAGCCGGGATTTGAACCCGCGACCTGCGGGACACTGCTAAAAGATGGTCTTTTGTACACTTGTGATGACCTGGGTATTAAGGTTAAGGAAGGAATGGGCAGGTCAGAAATTTTAGAGCTAATTTTGGAAAGCGCCAGTGAGGAGGATATGGGATACGCGTTAAAAGCTTTCAAAAGATTGGAGGAACGAAATCAGAAATGAGATAGAGAAGAAAAGGAAAGAAGGGATAGAAAAGAAACAGAAGAAAAGGAAAGAAGAGATAGAAAAAAAGAGAAGAAAAGGAAAGAAGGGATAGAAAAGAGCGTGATCAAGCACGCGCATGGAGATTAAACTTCTGGAACGTAAAATTGAAGCAATGTGGCGGAAGTTTCAGCCATCCGTAAGTGTAGCACACGAAAAATGCGAGAAAAACATTAGTGAGGTGCAGTTGATAGCCGTAGATAAGACTAGCATGTTTAAGGATAGCAGCAGGTTCGTTGAAGAACCAAATTTGAGTGCTGCTAAAGATGCTGCACTGCGTAGAGAGGCCGACAAAGGCCAGAGCGGGTGCGACAAGGTGCTGTGCCAGTTAAATGCTAGGGAAACGGCTAGGATAGCTGTGAAAAAGCTGGTACAGACCTCAACTGTGTTTGTCGCGACGGTGGATCTTGCAAACAATGTGGAAGTAATCAAGAACACCAGAGAAAGCTCAGGATAAACAGCCAAAGTAGAGAGTGAGGGCAACAACGCGGTTGCAGATAGCTCCCAGGAATGCCAGCGAGATTGTTCAAAGAGCTGCATGGTTCCTTATTGTGTTAACCTGTCCGCCAGTGCAATGTGTGACAAGAAAGATGATTCGGTCGAAAATCATTTACACTGCGAAGATGAGACAGCAGACAGAAGCAGTGAGAGTGTTCACGAGCTGAAGTTGTGATCGGGAAGCTCAGAAATGAGCAACAAGAAGCGGCGCAGACGAAAGAGACGTCGCCAGGCCGTGAGGGAGACAAACAGTACTACGCGTGTAAAAGAAGGAGCAAAACCTTTGAGTGTAGCAAGTAGTACTAGGCACTTTGCATTGACGCCTAAGTCAGTTTGCATGCGTCCGAGCAACCGGACGAAAAGTAAAAGGAAAGCGGTTTCGCGAATGGAATTGCGTGGAGAACGCCGGCCTTTCCGTTCTATCCACGGAACGTTTCAGGGCGCACCTGAGTACAACGTTAGCACAGGTGAATTGGCCGGACAAGGCGACAGAGCTAAGAAATCAAAGTGCCGAAGTACTGTGGCAGGTGGTGCAGAAGCACCCTTGAGCTGTAAAACTACCGATGACGCAACACGAGGCCAATTTCCTAACGGTGCAGGAAAAGTCGGTCGCAGACGTCGCCGTAGAGGAGTGAAAGGTACGCGCGCGACAAAGAAGGAGGAAGCAAGCATCGGGGAGAAAGAAAAGAGGGTAGCTCATCGGCCAGTTCAGCGAAGAGGCCTTTGTGGCGGGAAATAAGGCGCCAGCGGCGAAAAGGTAGGCCACAGGGCGCATCCTCGCGACGGAATGTACGCAGGAGATTTAAAGCTTTGCGGGGACAGGATTGTCGAAGGGGTCCTAGAAGAAAGGCCACAATAGCTAAACACCACACGGGAGCTAGCCCAAAGAAGGCATGGCCACTCTGTCCCACGCATCGCTCGGGTCCCCTCCGCCAGAATGACAGCGGCAAGCTGAAATCGCGAATGATCAATGATGCGTGACTGCGCCGTTCAGCAGGTAGCACATACGCGTCGTTGCCTCGGGCGTTCTCGAAATCCGCCAAGACCTCGACCACCGCGGGTACGACTGAAGAGTGAGGGACAGCTGTAAGCTGGAGAGAGGACACAGGAATTTACTGGGAAGCATGTTTGTTTGCTTATTTATTGGTTTTGAAATAATATTCATTTGTCATCTCCTTGGCTAGTTTGTTTGGATAGAGTTTTTCACTTGTCAGTTTGTTTTATTATGCGGTGTTTAAGAGCTTTTAGTTACAACTGTTAAGCGATATGCGGGAGCAGTTACCCGCATCAGTTAACCGGCTGTGTGCGATGAGTTTTTCTTAGAGATAAGAGCACGTAAGTCGCAAATGAAGTTTTGGTACGCCCGCTAGATTTGAAAGCGCGGTATCATTGTCGAGTGGAGCCGGACTTTCTATGCTTCGTGCTCTTTAGTGTAGCGCAACATCGCATGCCGGCTTAGAGTGAATAAGCAATGTTCAGGAAGGTTGTAGAATAAAACAAGAAGCGATTTTCGAGATGTTCATGGTTAAGAAACATTTGGTACGGGGTTTTTAGCGCAAAATTTACGCAAGTTTTGTTAGGTGCTCTTGACGTGTACGGCATCTGGCGTTGTTTTCTTTGCGTGTTGTTCTTTGTGAATATTTACGTTCAGATGATAGTTTAGGGACACCTACATAAAAGGGATATCGCCTATGGTTAGGTGCGTGTTGGTATGCTAGCGCTCTTTGGATGAGAGCATGATGTTGTGCTAGAGCGCACAGCAAAATCCTGGGCATTCTTTAAAAACATGAGCTGACATGAAACTACATTCAGCAAATGAGCGTGTTAGTACACGAGTTGCATTTCCCTTCGTTATTTTAGTAAGTGCTCAGAGTTCAAGGTGATCTCTTGAGAAAAGCGTTACGCTTTAGCGAACATTGAGACTAGATATACATTTCACGGATTCATAAAGACGCAGTTTGATCTGTTGTGAGTGAGTTTTCATTGGCGTCGGGGCGTCCTACAAGTAGGTACTCACAACTACGCCTTACAAGTATGTAATGAAAAAAAAAATGCGCCCAGATACCTTTTGTAGGTTCAGGCTGCATTTGTGTGGAATTTAGGTAGTTGTCTTCCATGAAATTAGTCATGAAGTTAGATGTTAGTTACAACATAGTATTGCGGATGGCAGGAAAAAGCTAGTTTCGAAAAATGGGATTACGGTTATATGGGGCCAAATTGTATTTGCCTTTGTGTGCTTTTCTCACACAGCAATTTGATCCATCTTTGGTAAGCATCTCCACGTCCATTATTGTTGCAACTTTGGCGGCACAAAATTGTCTCAAAATTTTAGCGTACAGGTTTTTCCTTTGTTTGTCTTTCTTGCGAAGCCTGGAGGGTTTTAAGCAGGTCCAATGTGCTTGACTGCAGCATGGTATTGTGTTGTGAGGTTAACCTTGCTGTTGTCGATCATTGTCAGCTGGTTTGGGAGTTGGTTACGAGTTCGCAGCTGGAGGGTCAAAGCCAGGCCATCGTCCTCGTCACCAGCCATTCTCTTCGTGCCCAGCGGTTGGGAGTGCTGGCCAGCCGAGATTTTCAGGGCGGCGGAGGAGCTGTTACGTTTGGCCCGGCGATTCGTCTGGGCAGACGCCGTGGTGCGTAAGCCGGTCTACTGGGGGGGCTCTCAACCCCTTCGGCGCCCAGTCTGGGAGGCGCTGTCGAAGATTTCGGCAATTACCCAGACCATGCGGCAAGCGAAGGCGAGTTCCTGACTTTCAACTACGGACCCTTTCGTCGTCCCTTCGAGCAGCAGCGGTGCCTGATGACCTCGGCGACTCATCTGGCGAGGGGGAAGCTGTTGTGGCCGGCGCCAGAGCTGACGGGGGAGCGGCGCACTTTTAACTCTTTTAATCCTCAATCAAGTAGCCGACCGGCCGGCTGCCTATGCCCGTCAGGCATTGTCCCTGCTAGCCGGAGGATGAGACGTGTCGCCACGACGCTGTAAATCGTTCGAGAGAGGACAACAAAGACAGCATCTTCCTTGGAAGAAACCGTGGTGGCCGCCGCAAATCGCCCCGCTAATTGAGCGAACAAATCGGCGGACCCTTTGATGTATGCTGTCAGGAGCTTGGGACCTCTTGACTAGCGCAACACACACGACGAGGAAGAGCCCCGCTGGCGCCACCTCGCAGTGCAGTGGTCACGGCTCAATATTGGACGCTCACGTGGACCGTGCATGCTCGTGCCCCTCACCTATTGTGTATGTGTGATTGGTGTTCCACTCAAAGAGGAGGAACCCGACAGGGCTTAAAACGACGCCGCAGAGTGCTGGACATCACTCTGAACCATGTAACGGTTCAACCACCACGCTCGTGGTTTGTAGAACTCCTAACCTTTCTTCGCTGTAAATATGTGTAAATAGTGCCATAAAACTGCTTGTTTTTCGTATCCTCTTCTGGTCAGCATTCGTTTCCTCCACCCGGTTACACCACGCTACCACACGAGACCGGGTAGACCCCATTCGCAACAACTGGTGGCAGCAGTGGGACGACATCAGCGACCTTCCTTCCGACCCTTAACAACTGGCGGCAGCGGTGGGATGCCATCAGCGACCTTCTTTCCGACCCTTAACAGTGCACATCATTCATCCTGGATATTTTATCTTATTTTTTTCTCTCGTTATTTTGTGCGCTGGTGGTTACAGGCACCAGCGGAGGTTGCGGACAACTATGATGCCAAAAGCTGCTTTTGTTGTGATCTCTCTCTCACCACACACACACACACACACACACACACACACACACACACACACACACACACACACACACACACGCGCGCCCGCAAACACACGCACGCACACACACACACACAAAAAAAGGGGGGGGGGGGAAATTCATGGGAGCAGTACAATTCCCATCATTCCTGCAACTGGGATCTCCCAAACGCTTGACAACAACAACTTTAGCCACCAATTTGCATTGACTGGCACGAAACCAAGAATAGAGATGCAATAAATGGGATCACTGTGTTTTTCAACTGACCTTATCCTGAGGACAAGGTTGATGGTCCCAGGAGTTGAGATTACGGCCGCAGAAAGCTGCGGAGGAGGTTGCTGCTGAGGTGCCTCACTGTGTGCATTGGACTCAGGCACTGTTGGTGGCTGTAATAAGAACATGTTTCGTCGCAGATGTTCCTACATAAAGGAGGCGCTAAAGTTAGACTATCACAGCAGACTAAAGCCGTTTATATACTTGGAGGGCATTCTCCTAATAGCCTATTAGCATACTTTATGGCCTGCTTGTGAGGCACAATCAGCCAGTCAACTGCTAGCCCTGGTGAATGATTGGGGGACTACAGAACAAGCTACTGGTGCCTTGCAGGAAACAAGAAACGACTGAGCAACGTGGTGGAGGTAGATCACTAGCGAACAGAGTAAAGCACTCAAGTTTCACATGCACCCGACCACTGGTCAGGTGCACCGTAGAAGCACAAACATTCGAACTTTCTGTCTTAAAGTGCCCTAAAGAAGCTCTGTTTTTGCTATGGATCTCGAATTCATTAATGCGGAGTACAGTTGACTCTCATTAAACGGAGCTTCAAGAGACCAGAGAATATGTTCCACTTAACATGAGTTCCGTTTACTGAGTGATGAAAAGGGGCACACAATGCAAGAACGAAACCAATCTTGTCAAAAAAATTTGTTCCATTTAAGCAGCAGTTCCGTTAAACAGATTTACGCTTACTGAGAGTCTACTGTACTAATCTTTTAATTCAGCTAGACTTCACATTTTTCTTTATGATCCATTTAAGAGGTTTAGGCATTTTATAGCCTCATGGCACTTTGAGAAAAATGACTAGTCTAACAGTGATAGGTTGACTAGTTGGTACATGTAATACAGAATAAAAAATACGGAACAGGCAAAAATTTATTTTAGCATCATCTGCTCAGCATAATAATAGCATAGCTCAATAATGATAGCTTAACATAAGAAGTTTCAAATGTGTCCACTGAAACAGATTGCTGTACACCACTGCATCCAACTATTTAATCACACCCCTTTCTAGTCATTACTCCTGCTCTTCCTGTAGTGGGATTGGGTTAGGTTAGGTTGGTTTGTGTTAGGTTAGGTTACTGGGAGAGCAAATGTGAGCTACTGCATTGGTATTGGCATCTGACTGCACAGAAATCAACCGAGCGTATGCAGGGTTGTATCTGGATTGTATCGCAAACATATGAAATATAGCTGAACACACATTGCTCCCTCGATAAAAAGTGCTGTGCTTACGTTTTGGTACAAATGATTTCCTCTAATTGTGGCCTAACCGCTTACATATCCTCCAGAGACCCATCAATGGGAAATTTTCTCAATATATTAGAAAATGAAACGCAATGCACAACAGCTTTCAAAGCGCTTTCCTCCTGCTTTGAAGCAGTTTTGCTTCCACAAAAGCACAAGCAACTCTTACGGCTGCCACCTAGGAAGTAGGTCAAATTTTATATGAAGTATTTGCATGTGTTAATGCGTACTTACATATTATTTTTTGTGTGCATCAGAACTCAAAAAACATAGAAAAAAAAAAAAAAAACCACAAATTTGTGTGTGCTGTACTCGCTGTTCATGAGGAAGCCGTCTAGAGCTTAAATTTCCTATACAGTAAAAGCTCGTTAATTTGGATTTCACGGGACCTGAAAACTGTCCGAATTAACCGAATGCCGAATTAACGAATGAACAGGGAAAACAACATTTAAAATCAAGCTGCAGAAGCATACCTTTATTTGTTTAAGTATTTTGTAATTGTCGTCTGCGTTTTCGCGCAGATTCCGGCTGACATCACAATTTTTCTTAACTGTTCCAAATGGCCAACAGCAGGCAAGCTGTCGGGAGTATTCAGGCAAGCGTCCTCTAATATTAACAGCGCCTCCGAGACTTCCTGTGAGGTGCGATGAGGTCGCGGCTGTATCTCCTCGCATGATTCTTCGTCGGAATCGTGGTCTTCATGGGCGCCCGTGACATCATTAATAATCTCTTGATCGTTCAGGAGACCACTCGTGGCGACACCATGATCAATTGCGATGTAGTCCTGAAAGGTAACATCTGTGGGAAGGACAGCGTCGAAAGTCGGGCAGTCATCGTCGGTGGTCTCGGCTGACACCTCCTCGATGCCATCGTCGGCTACTGCTGCATGCTCGGGTCTCACAAAACCGCTGTGCCGAAAACAGTTGGCGATGACTTGCCGCGGAGTGTTTTTCCACACGTGGGCGATGATGTGCACTGCGCCAAGTAAGTCCACTTGATACAACTTTCCAGCTTCTGAGCATAGGATCATTCGCTCTAGCAGGTGCTTGCGGTACTTCGACTTCACGTAGTGAATGACACCCTGGTCCATCGGCTGAAGAGCAGACGTAGTGTTGGGCGGCAAAAAAACTACTTTGATGCTCTTCAGTTCGACTGTACAGTTATGGGCACTGCAGTTGTCAAGAACCATAATTATCTTGCGGTCCTTCGACGTGAAGTGCCGGTCCAACTGCTGCAGCCAGCCGCGAAAAATGTCCGATGTCATTCATGCCTTCCTGTTCGCTGTGTACTCAACAGGAAGGCTTTTGACGTTCTTAAAACAACGTGGCTTAAGCGCCTTCCCGACAACAAGTAGTAGTGGCAAGCGCTCCATGCCAGTCATATTGGTGGCAGGAAGCACAGTTATCCTTTGCTTGCACTTATTGCCACCAATGCACGCGTTCCCTTTGAAAGTCACCGTCTTGTCGGGCAGAGCTCTGAAAAATAGAGCAGTTTCATCTGCATTGAACACGTCACGTGGTTCATATGCGGCGATGTGCTCCAGCAGCTTCACATTTCTCCACTCGGTGGTCACGCTTTCGTCAACACTGGCCTTTTCGCCGCACACACCCCTGAGGACAAGTTCGTGTCTCTCTCGAAATCTCGCAAACCAACCTTTTGACGCTTTGAACGATTCAATGTTCATCATTGCAGTGTACTTCTCACCTTGCATCATAATGAGAGGTCCGCTCAAAGGCAGATGCGCGTTGCGACAGTCAGTAATCCACCGGAGCAAAGCTTCTTCGAGCTGGGGATGAGCTGCGGTTCGCAACCGCTTTCTAGAGGCATGAAACTTCTCGCTTTCGAAGGCTTGTCGAATCTGTTGTTCATTTTTCACGTACGTTCCCAACGTGCTCCGCTTCACGTTGTACTTGGTCATAACCTGCTGTCGCGATTCGCTGTTCTTCAGTGCTTCCAAAATTTTCACTTTAGTCGCCAAGTTCTTCGCGTCGTAGTTCTGCCGCTTTTTCGGCGTTGCCATCACTGTAGCGCACGATGGTGGTGGCATGCAAATACGGTCACAATGGAAGAAAAAGAGAACTCCGCAAGAAGAGATGGTTCCGACACGACAACACAAGGGAAAATGGCGTCGGAGGCGCTGAGTGGAGAAGAAAGAAGACGCCGACGTTCGGTGACGCTGCGATAGCCCCCACTAGTTGATGATGATGATGGCGATGCCACTCAGGTTTCGGTTTCACTCCAGTGGTGCCAGTGCTGCTTTATCACACTTTTGTGTAGCAGCAGCCGTCAGCATTTGTCCGAATTAAGCGGTGCGGAGCCGAATTCCGACGAAATAACGAAGGTTTGGTCCCATAGATTAACATGCACTTTGGCCAGGACCAATAGAGCCGTCCAAATTATCCAAATTTTTGAATTAACAGGTGTCAAATTAACGAGCTTTTACTGTATATTGGAAAACGAGCTGTGGCCAAGCAACTGAGATACAGAAAAACTACGCGACACTTTTCTCTTTTGCATTGAAAAAAAAATATACTTTCCGAAAATTCATGACCATAAATTTACAATGGGCCTTGGGAGTGTGCTGTGCTGTGTTCAAGATGGAACCAAGTGATGCATACCGGTTGTGTGGGAATGAGATTGCTTGGTGCAGGTGCTCCAGACGTTGATCCAGAGGAGGTACCGGATGTGGTCGTCTCGTGGTCGACAGGCAAGGCATTGTCAATGGCACTGTCCGAGGAACTCGTCGACTGGTTCGCCTTCAGAATGGCCTCGTCTCGCGCTGCCAGGTCCTGTGACAGTGGCGGTGGACAGCCCCAATTTACGACAATGCAAATGCACTGCAGCGACGTAAAGCCGCTCACTGCAGTGGATTGGGCCCTTCACAATACGACAAACGTCAAAACAGTTCCTACAGGCGTCTCTAGTCACGATCTTCATTTTAACAACGCAAAAAAAAAAAAAAAAAAACACACTCGAAAGGGACAATGACCCACTCCAGCCATATCTTATGTTTCGTAATGTATATATTAAGGGAAATGTTTTTGCATTCTACACCAGCTGGAATATGGTCATGGCAAGAGCAAGAACTTTAAGTTCATTTAATGTTCAATTTGCAAGTGCATTGAAACACAAATTTCGGAGAGACCACCATACTCAAACACCACAATAAAGGTAAAGCAACTAAAAAGACTCATTCTGAGAAGCGTGATTCAGGAGGACATGAGCTCGACAGCCTGCTAGAAACTTAGGTGCAGCTTCGGGAAGAAAAAAAAAAAAAGACTTTAGCGTTGAAATAGTGCACACCCCTTTACTATGTTTTGTCGTGCTTTTTTTTTTTAAATGTCAATTCATTAACGTCTTATCCAGGGATCATTTAGAAGTCATAATGTTCTAATAGCTTGTAACAGTTTATAGCGCATACAGTTATGCCAGCTTTTTTATTTGTGTATCGTGCAGAAGCGAAGGAGCAGGCAGGGAGTGGCAGTAGCATTGACAAGGGTTGTCAACGTTCTAGTAACACGAGGCATAAAATGAATGGGAATATGGTGCCTCTATAGTTGACCACGCACTGCAATATGATAGTAAAGGCACTAATAAGGATAAACCCAGAAGGCTACAATTGAAGTTGCACATTTAGTGTCTCGGCAACGGCTGCAGCTAACCTAGGAAGCTAGTGCTTTGGGCTTGTAGGAATCTCATACTTAACCTAGTCATGCCTTTTTTGTGTTTTTTTTAAGTGCTATAAGCCGCAGTGTAGCTAGAGCCACTACTTTTCCATGGTGCTGAGACTCCTGCTTCATAATCAGAATCTACTTTCTAAGAAGACGCACCCTCTCGTCCGGAGAGTCTTCGTCATCTTCTCCATCTGACCAGACCCAGTCGCCCGTATCTGTCCGGTGCAGCCGGCCGCTTGTGCCAGGAACTCGTTTACTGTTCTTAAGCTGCAAAGTGCATTCGACAAAAGAAATGTGCAAGACCGCCTTACATGCGAAGTCTTCTGTGCACAAAAGAAGCCACAGCAAACCAGTCAAAAGTCTAACAGTAGCGATCTGCTCGTCTGGGATGGGACGATGCATTAGCCAGCAACGACTCCTCAAACTAGTGTAGCTGCTTGTACCCCTACAATTGTAGACAAAAAAGCATTCGCAATTAAAAAAGTGCAAAACAAAGCAAGACAAAAGAAAAGATATGCATGGGACGTGAACAAAACAAAACGCGACGTGCCAATTTTTTTGAAACCAGTTACGTGTCACAACCTGGCACGTAACTGGGTTGACATGTAGTGCAAATCCTATTCACCAATTTCCGATATCCTTTATTGAATTTTCAGAAAGATCATGCATCCACCCGCCAACTTGCCACTCTTGCTACGAGCAATGCAACTCGCGCAACAATCCGTGCTACCGTATTTACTCGCGTAATCCTCGCACTCGCATAATTCTCGCACCCCCCCACATCGCCCAAGAAAAATGCGATTTTTTTTTCCTCAAGTAATTATCGCACCTTCAAAAACTGCCGCAATAATGTCGTCTTCTCGTTCCAGCCACTGATGATGATAGCGCGCGCCATCTCTTAAACATTAAGCGTACTATTGCACGGAGATTCAATCCAATCCAAGCCAAGCTGAAGTGGCCAGTGCCGCGTTGCGGCGTGTTTTGTTTGTTGTGTCGGTAATCTTTGCACGTTATGGGGCGATACTGAAGCTACACGGCTGCTTCAAGTTGCAAGTGATGGATCATGCACTAAACAACGGCAACAGGTCTGCCGGTAGGCTGTTCGGAGCCTACGAGTTTTGTGTTCTCTACTGGTGACGGCAGCTGAAAGCCACCAAGACGCGATGGGCCTGCCATGTGCCTACAACTGGGATTGATGGCAAACTTTATTTCTTCAGAAGGAAACTGCGGACGATTCTGTTAAATAGCCATCAGCCCAATACTGACGTCGTACGCTTACCTTTTGAGGGCTCCTGTTGAGCGACGAACGCTGCCGCTACGCCCGCAACATCCACAAGCTTTGCGTGTGGTATTCTAATTCTCGACTATTTGCTTCCACCTTTTGTGTCTCAAATAAATCTTGTCTTGTGTTGAACCTCTGCTTTTATTGTTGAGGTAAGTTCTAATTAGTACTTCTCTGAGCTTGCTGTAAGTTGCTGGTGTGAGAATCCCGGTTTGTGGCCACTTAGTTTTCTTTTTTGCTCTCTACGTTTTCGTGGAAAGTTTTCCCCGCGTAATTCTCGCACCCCCCAACTTTGCATCAGTTTTCCGGCAAAAAAAAGTGCGAAGATTATGCGAGTAAATACAGTATGCTAAAGGTGCAAAACAATATTTTTGTCACTAAACATTAGGTGCATCAAAACAACTAAGACAATGCTAGGCTTTCTTTGCATTTCTGTTAAAATCCCTGTACACTTTATAGAAATACTTCAGCTGTATCTTCATGGAAATAGCACACAGTTTCATTTCAAGACCAAGCCCTGCACTACTAGAGGCTGTTTTCATGCAATGCAAACAACTAATGAACTGAAAATCCTTGCGAAACATTATTTTTCCATCATTCGTCTATGAACTTGTCGTTGAAAAGCCCTCGGGCTTTGACTCACCTTCTGCGCTCGAGCCTCTATTGTAGGAGCACAAGTCAATAATGTCTGCATCAGGTACTTCTTGTCCTAAAAAATAAAAACAGTGCAACAGAGGTATTGAGACTTAATGATAACAGTATATGCCATAACACTGGTGCTTTACATACTAGATGATTTTTAATCCACAGTGTGACCAGCATGATGTCATTGACACATTGGCAATGCCAACAGCAAATGTTTATTAAAATACATCATTAGTTTAGTTATGGCGATGTGTATACGGGCGCAAAGTGAATGAAGCCTATTAATGATTTTGAGACAAACAGCCCCAGTCAATCCACCTCTGTCATTTGTCATATTGAACTTCCAATTTCAAGTCAATAGTTCTCGTACATATTTATTTCTTCCAAGCTAAAGCATGTGCACTAGTTATTACAGAGATGCAAAGGTTCCTTCGAGAGCTTTTTAAAATGTGGAGGTATTAGTACACTCGCTTTATAATCTATATATTTGCTTAACTTCAATACTAGTTGTCACAGACTGATTGTAAAAGCCATAGCCTAAAAGTACAATGTGGCATTTTATTATGCAAACTGAGTGCTAGTAATGTACTTAATGCGTAGTGACTTTCACCTCCAACACAAGCAAAACAGGTGTATAGGCACCAGTTGAATTTTTACATTTTGTAAAAAAGACTTGCTACTAGCACTGCAGCACATATGAGAAAATTACAAAATTGATTGCAGCTGGAAATTTTTTTGCCCACGTACCTTTGCCTTCTTGAAGAACTGGTGCTTCAGCAACTCTGTAGCAGTAGGCCTGCAATGACAAAAAATTGCAGCCATCAATGTTTGCATTTACCGCTCCTATAAAAATGTGTAATCCATAGATCACGGTGTTGTTGTCCAGCATACATTACTTAGAGCCACTTAGCGGCCTTATCCAGTCAACCATTTGATTATGTGGCCCTAATGCTCCAAAATTAATTTTTCTACTTAAAGGCTGTGCATCAGCACAGGCATTCAATATAACTGTTTTTTTTCTTTTCTTTCACCCCCTTTCTTAACAGTCGTTCGATCAATATATCAACAAATTGAAAGTGAAGTTGGACTACATTTCGCGATCACGTTAAGCGTATCGTAAGCAGGTGTTTATTCAGCACATGTTTAATAATGTTGCTTTGACTGGGCACTTGAGCAGAATTGGAATGCATTTTACAGCATCAACTGAGTGAGACTATGCATTTTAAGTTTGAGAAAGTTCCGAAATAAAGGCCGAAATTTCATAAAATAAGATGTAGTTTAAAAAGATCTAAGGCCAATATGAACATTTCAAGGGCTATTCTTTCATTTTTGTTTTGGCTGACACGCTAGATGTCGGAGCGATTTTGTCTTGCATACTCAACGCAAAGTGGGGGCAAAGGAATCTTTTGAGACCATGTAATTACCCATGCAAGTTTGTGCTCTGAAGTTATCACTTGCAGGAGCTACTACAAAGTGTAATTTCTAGTTAACACTTAATTTGTCCATGACTCTAGAGTTAACAGATGCAACAAATATTTATCATCTCACTATTATGTTGCCGGCACACCTGCTAACACTGTGTCATTTACCGCGTTTACCTGCATAATAGGCACATATTTTTGTCCAGAAAATATGGCTCCAAGTTCGGGGCGCACCTATTACGCAGGATGAAATTTCCGAAATTTTTATTTACAACTACAGCATAAGTTGAAAGAGCCTTTCTCATAGGCTACACTAGTGCAAAACATGTTGAGAATGCAGTCTTGCGTGTCCAAGAATCGAGGTAGGCGATGCATTCAAATTTCTAAATTTACATACAAAGACCCACGTTGCCAATGAAAAAAGACTTGCGTTGACAGAAAATCAACAGCAACAAAAGTAAGTAGAGCTTGTGCAAATACGTGTAGTGGCAGGAAAGGCTAAAACTCGTGTCGGAAAGCCGAAAGCGTTTAAACTTGCGAAAAAGGTATCAAACACGATAACGACGTTTTTCTTTCGACGTTTCATACAGAGTGTGCGCGGCTGGCTACAGCGGCTGGAGCTACGTCCGTGCGTTGGTGCAAAGGTTACTCCGACGCCCAGGCAACCGCCCTTCTTCCTCACTCGGCGAGCCCGCGAACTGGCACAGCGCTGCCGTTGTCATTTTTAAAGACGATTGTCTTTCTTGGGATACTTCAATGCAAAAATTTTGGTCTGTCTCTGTGTCTGTCGGTCGACTTGTCTGTCTGCCAACCGAAACAATTCAGCTACCGAACTAAAGTTCAACCACTTCCTCAATGACAATCTTGATCTTGTTTCCAAGTTCATACTTGTGCGTATTGCCGATTAAAAAGCAAATAGGCAGAATATCAACCTGTCAATATTTAACAGTGTGTTTTTCATTACACTAGAAAAAGCATACATAAGTAATTTTGAGGACTGTAGAGTTTATTACGCTGTGCTGACAGTGAGACACTATGCCCGAAAAAGCGGGCGTTTTTTGCACTTCCAAGATGATACGATGCTGCCACCTACCTGTGGCATTGCATTCTACAAATTATGGCCTCCAAGGTGGCGCGCTTGCTTTATTGGAGGGCATCCTTTCGTTTTCCAAGATTACTGCTAGATGGTGCACATGTCTCATGCAGCACCTCCAGAACCCCATTAACCGATTTCCTCGCGCAGATCATCAAATAAACATTTTATTCACTCTCTCTAGACAAGAGACCATAGTCTTTCAATGACATTTGCAATGAAACATGCAGATACGGGATTAATTTTTTTGTTTTCTTTTTCCTTGCTTCAGTTAACGTAAGAGGGCCTCAAATAGCAACCGTGCTGATATTACAGAACTACTGGTCACAGCCAAGTTTGGTGTGTGCCTATTATGCAGGGAAATAAAAAAATCTGATTTCTCACGACAGCACTGGGAATGCAACCATTATGCGAGTGAATACGGTATATTTGGCCCTTTCTCATTTGAGGGGCCTAAACCCGGTGCGCAATGATGGCACTAAACAAAAATCCCTTACTCTAACCCCATTTTAATTGATCGCACCATATCTAGTGATGAAATATGCAGGTGTATTTTAAATTTTTTTATTTAGCCGCATATTTTACATTTTGATCATTCTTGCATCCTATCCTTGCAAAAGAAACCTTTCATTTGCCAGTTAAACTAGAGTCATTAACTTGATTTTTCAATCAATAAGCTTCCATGTTGTCTTATCTAATCACAGAAACTTATGTAAAAAGGATGCAATATCTTTTCAGTCAGCTAAGCACTTGAGGCCTTCGGTCATTTATTTCATTGTCTCAACATGCCATGTTCTCTATTGCAACGGCAGACACAACACCAATGAACGGGCATACCTCTTGGTGGGGTCTTTCTGCAGGCACTCGCTAATCATCTTGCGGATTGACTTGCCGTAGTTTTTGTACTGGTCCTTGTCTTCGCCGACCATTTCCAACGTGGGAGGGTCATTCTGAAGCGTCAGCATTAGCACCTACACAGGCAAGAAATGAAAATGGAAGTACCGGTCAGGTGGTCCAATCATGTCTAGAATTATAGTATTTTTGTTTTGTATCTTCAACACTGAAACCGTCACTAATGCAATGCGCAACGCAGTCATGGTTACTATAAGCAAACTTCATTGAGAACACAACTAATCAGTAGATTGGCGATCAAACTAATCAGTAGATCAGTAGATTGACGAGGACTAAAGGCAACAACACTGGCTAAAACATTGGTGTCAATGTGCTTTGAATAAAATTAAGTAACAATCACTTCAAGGTGTCAAAGGCAACACCACTGAATAAAATGCTCAGGGCATCAAAAAATAATATAGCCTAACAGAAAATAGCACCAGGAGCAAACAGCAAAGTTGCAAAATATCTTCTCCAATAGAGCACACAATCGAGAGAAGCCTTACATAAAAAAAAATTAACTTTTTGGGGTACACCAGCAGCATTTCAGGCAAGGTAAGAAGAAATTTATTTCTGGGGCCCTATGTGTCACACTATCAATGCGATTGGCGTATTTACTCGCATAACTTGTCCACTCTCTTTTCACGATTTTAGGGCTCCGAGACGGGGGTGCGCAAATTATGCGGAGATTTCGTGAACGCATGCGAAATAATGTGCTATAGTTCTAACGGGTGCAGTATATACATTAAAATAAAATAAAATGGAGCACGAATGAAGTGTACTTGTTTATTTAACAGAATCAGCACGTACTTTAACCAGTCAGCTTTGGTCACACGTGGTCTAGTTGGAATCACTGATTGAGAGGTCCGATCGAGAGGTCCGATTGAGAATCATCGTCGCGGCCGCTGTCACCACACACGCAAAGCGCATTGCCCTCGGTTCTGTCCAGTGCGTTCAAATGTACCATTTTCTCTTCTTCAAGCTCTTCTCGACAATGCTGGGAGAAACTAGGTCCTATGACGCGGCTATACCGGAGGACCTAAGCATTCGCACATAATTCAAATGGCCTTCTTCGGCGGCAGGAAACTTGTATTAGCAAGCATGCATTCCTTCGCTTTCTCCCATACTGATTGCGCCGATCATCACACATTGAACTTAACGCTGAGGTGCTTGATGGTGGCACGATTCTAGCTTTCTTCGGTAAACTTACAAAAGAGAGCTTGAATTTTGCCGCATACATAATTACTGTATCACATTGCAAGAGAACACTACAAAACGTGACAGATGGATAACAAAACCTAAACTTCCGAAACCAACGAAGCATGCGTTGCTGCGCGTATGCAGAGAACGAGGGGAACAGTCGGCGCGACAGGCCTAAACAGGCCCTCGCACGCTTTCAGTGCCAAAAGTTGTCTATGCCATGATGTAAGCAAGCATTCTCATGGTAGAAGAGATGGAGAGATAGAGGGGGACAAATGCTCGAGCAGTTCTGGCAAACTATCAACAAGTCTGAGTGTTCAAACAAGGTACTCTAGGGAACCTAGTTCGGGGGAAGTCCTTGGAAGGAGGGACTTTGCACTCGCAGGCCATTTGGCAGCGCTCGTCTGATCGGTGAAGCACGCGCCTGGTGCGCCCATCCGAAGAATCCAAAGGTCTAAAGTCTCTCTGGGAGCGCGCCAGCGAGCTGGCTAAATTTATGAGTATGAGTGCGTTAAATTTATGAGTAAATGCTTTTTTCTCATAAAGCTGACAAAATATTAGGGGTGCGCAAATCATGCGAGGGTGCGGACCACGGACTACCTTTTACCACCTTTAATGTGCACCAAATCAAATCTAGCTGGTAAGCTAGTACGGTTGATTAAGATGACGAAAATTGCATGTTTGGTCTTTCACAAAAGAGCTGATGCTGCTGGAATGCATTAACTGGAAAATGATAACACAAGCAAACTCTGCTCTGCTTGCCTTCATGGGAGGATACTTGTGATAAGGTGCCGTGCCCGTCACCAGCTCGATGGCTGTGATCCCAAAGCTCCAAATGTCAGCCTTAAAATCGTACCCTGTAACCTGTTGAACAGAATGCACCACAAGATTATCAGTACACGAAATACTCAAAACTAAAGTACAGTAGACTCGCAGTTGACGTAAATCTCTTGAATGAAATTGCCGCTTAGAGGGACACTAAAGTGGAACAGCGACTTGATTTAGAATGATAAACTGCACTGTGAGAACTCTGATGACATATGTTTCCCTATCGTAAGTTCATTTTTAACGGAGAAAATCAAGGTTGAAGTTTTAGGTTTAAATTTTGCACCGAAATATAAGCGAGTGACGCAAGAAATTGCAAATTTATTTATGGTATTTTCGAGGGACTGGCTCAATGCGATTTCCTGAAAATTTGTATGCTAAGTCTATGGCACTCACAGATTATAATGTACTTTATCCATTGGAAGCTATGTGAGAACCAGCAGATGCTTTCAAAACTTCTTACGTCACGGTGTCTGGTGTGGGAATCTCGAGGTGGCATTGCCACCCGCATTTTCTTTTCGTGTGTTTCCTTGTTACCAAGCCCTGTGTCGTGGTAAAAGTGGCGTTTTTGAGATTGTAAAATTGTACTTTACTAATACGGAAAAAATTGTTTTGCTCTTTTGTCCCTTTAAATCGACCAATTTTCTCTAGTATGCTTCGATTCGAACTTGAATCCTGCAACCCTGTTAATCTCAGTAAACGGAATGCCTACTAAACGGAACGTGGTTTCCTAATCCGTTGAGCCTCTCTTTACACGGAGAATTTTGGGTGTACGTGCTCGGGTCATTTCGCCGAGCAGTTTTGTCTTGCAATTTTCTACCTTTGCAGAGTGCACTTGCAATGTGCCCAGTACAAGTCGTTTTGCATCGCACAACTCTCAGCACCACTTATGGCATCAAACTTCTCACTTGACACTAACCTTCCTTAGCACAGAGCCCTCCCTCTCATTCCGTGCACATCAAACGTACGCTGAAGAGGAAGCCGATTGATTTATTCCCTACTAGTAAATTTGTCTTTCACAACAGTGCCACAAACGCCACGTTTGTCATGAGAAGACGCTGAGTAAACGAGAAAATGTGGGAAAATGACAAAAAAAAAAAAAAAAAAACACGACGCCACCCACAAGTTCTCGCAAAAATGCAGCGGTGTCACAGATTTTTGTGGTGTTTACTATGGCCTACATATTTTCTAATCAGCGAAAATGAAGTATGTTGTCTTTTAAGCATCAGAAAATTTCTTTGAGCCCGAAAATACGAAAAAATAACACAAATTCATGAACCCACTACTGAAAGTTTCGGGTGAAGTTTAAAAATTAAACTGAATTTACTCATCTATACCTGTGATGATGGTATTAACGACAGTGCAGTTTTCAGAGTCATATATTTTAACCGTCTAAACTCATTGCATCACTTTAGTATACTTTCAACTTGTACTACAGACATCAACGTTCATTTTTCTAGACGCCGTCAGATACAAAAATGACATCATTGATCAAGTGGCACCAATCATCAGTGAGAACTAGGTGGATGATCCTCACCTGCTCCATGACTTCAGGTGCCATCCAGCAGGGCGTGCCAACAAACGTGTGCCTGGACTTTTGCCTCGACAGGTCCCCGCCAGTCGCAAGCCACGAGCTCACTCCAAAGTCTGGGAAAACATTCGCACGAGACCCGAGTTGCAGGTTGCATAAACGAGTACAAAGATACTAGTGACAAGTATCAAAACCCGAAGTTCGAAAATGTTGCCATAACATTCATGCAAAGGAGCTGAACACCGAGGCTTGGCCAATATTTATTACCATATATCTTAAATGTTGATAGAACAAACGCAAACAATATCTGCTGCATGTATCAGCAGTTTCATTTAACGTATAAACAAGTTCAAGGACACACAGTAAAACCTCATTAATTCGGCCCCATCAATTAATGTGAGCGCTCGTGTTAAATGGTAAGTCATTCTACATGCTGAAGATAACTGCTGCCCATCTCTTGACCGAGAGCTGCGGCCATGAATGATGCAAACAAAGCGAAGCCTCCAGGAAAAGTTTAGACACACCGAAAACAAGAAAATATCTGAACCTTGAAGGCAATCTTGTAGATTTTTCTTGAGCAGCTCCACATAAATCGAGCTTCTCAAGCTAACTATCCTTGAAATGGCATGCAATTGTGGCCTACCCAGAAGCAATCGCAAAGACATAAAAACTGGAACACGAAAGAAAAGGAACTGCCAAGAAGAAGAATTTTCTATTCTGAGAAGCTGAATTGCATTCATCCCCCCTTTTTTTTGTGGGTCTGATCCAAACTAGCGGCACTCAATAGCTTTGCTTCAATTACCTACTAACATAACATTCTGGTCCATCTTCATTTTGAACAAGCCAAAACTAGGTACCCATTAGAGTCGAGTGAATATGGCACTATACCAATATTTATAACATGGCTACGGCAATCAATGGCCTCTTCATACGATTACCGAGTCAAAAATTACACACTGCTCAGTTGGGCTAGACAACAAGTCCGCTGTACACAAGCACTCAAAGATGCTGAGCACGCTCTCAATCAATCTTGCTGCTGTCAAAGTTATCAAGAGCGGCTCGCTCTTCCTCGGAAACACGATTCTCTGACCAAGGTCGAATAGTGAAGAGCTCATGTGGAGTGACTCGTTCAGCAAAAGTATCCTCCAAGGCTAAAAACGAGCAAACACATACACACACGAAAAAAGGACATGAAGTGCTAAAAATGGCAACACACTTTGAAACTAGACAAACACAGTTATTCCCACAACATGCAGTGAAGTTATACAGATTTACACGTTGTGCACGAATAAAGCTTTATTTACACTGGACCTTCAGAGGTCTGTCTACCCCCACATAATTCAAAAGGCCAGGTGTAGGCTTCTGAAGTTAATATAATTTTAATATAACTACAATCACTGCCTGTGAAGTACCAAGCTATGCGACATAAAGGAGCAGACGAGAAGACGATGGTCGAGCTTCGTTCCGGGAACACACATCCGTGAACAAACATCAAGAAACTCAGGCTCAAAACAGGCACAAAACAAAAAAAATGTAATAAGAAATATCACTTTATAAAACGAGCTTACCTGCAATCTGAACAGCGCCATCCTCACCGAGCAGAATGTTTCCCGCTTTGATGTCTCTGCAAAGAAAGCGAAGCATGTGTGAATCGTGCCTTCTCAAAAAGATGGGAGGGCATACAAAAACAAGCGATGGTCTCTAGGAAGCTAAATTCATACACTATGAGAAGCTAAGTTCACCATCATACAACACAAATTCGCTGAAAGTGTTCAGTCAGAAAAAATCTGCGTACATATGCCAAATGCCCAAAGAGATAAGCTTAGTTTAAGTTTTCCTTGAAAACATAAACTGGGCTGCTCAGACCTTTAAGTACGGGAGATTGCATCAATAGTGCGTCATACCCTATATGTCTGTGAAAGGTTCACAAAAAATATGCAATTTAATGCGACTTTATGTCAGCAAAATGTACAGTGAAACCTCGTTAAACCGTAGTTGGCCGGAGCTCGGAAAAAGTACGTACTAAACGGTAGTACTGCTTAACCGAAATAGCATCCAGTCGCTCACTTACCTGTCAAAAAAAGAAACCTTCAGTGAGTGCGATGAAAGAACAAAAAACGTGAAGTAATTTATTAACTTCGCCTGATAAAGTCTGTAATCTTCATTTGACGACGCGGCGGCCTAGCAGCAACGACAGCGGCCTCAAACTCACTTATGCTGTGAGCCAGCTTTTCTACCAGCCCCCTCTTCTCGGCAAATACCCGCATGACGCTCACGCAATGCGCAGCTTCGGCCACTGTTGGACCTGGATCACCCGTGTTGTCGCTTTCAATATCATTTGGCGACACTTCGACAACCGAGGCAACAATGGCTTCGTCGGACATGTCCGGAGATGTCTGCACATCGCTGTCTGTGTCTCTGAAGTCGGGGAAGGAAATGCCTTCCGTAACGCCCTGCCGCTCCAGCACTTCAGCTAGCAGAGTTTTGCAAGCTTCGTCTACTATGTCCGAAGTCTGGTCGATGGTGTCACTGGTGTCATCTGCGTCGCCCGCACACACACTGAAGCCAGCACGCTTGAAGCAATTTTGAACTGTCGTTGCTTCAACCTGCCGCCACGAGTATTCGAGCAGGTGAATCGCGCCAATCAGGTCGATGGAGAATAATTTGCCACATTCAATGGCGAGAAGAAATCTGCGCAACAGATTCTTCTTGTAGAGCTGTTTTACAGCTCGAATGATGCCTTGGTCCAAGGGCTGGGCAATCGCTGTTGTGTTTGGTGGCAGAAATGCCAACTTCACAGCCGTCAGGTTGTCCAGGGCGACGTGCGCTAAAGCGTTGTCTAAAATAATAACAACTCTTCTGTTCTTAGCCGCAAAACGACAATCGATGAGGCGCATGTACTCCTCAGAGAGTTTTGCCGTCATCCATGCTTTGGTGTTGCTGCGATAGATGACCCCTGATGGCAACCGGGCACCTTTGAAACATCCAGGCTTTGCCGACTTTCCAATTACGAGGAGCGGAGTTTTGTCGGTTACAGTCATGTTTACGCGAAACGCCACTGATATTCTGTCTTTTGCATGCTTGCCGCGGGTGCACGTCTCGCCTTTGAACGCGAGCGTTTTGTCTGGTAGCAGCTTAAAGAATAGCGCTGATTCATCCATACTAATGATGTCATCAGGTGCGTAGCCTTCCGAAATGTTCATGATACAAAAACAGCTTATTCAAGTCCCTTCCTCAGCTCAATCTTTCTGTACATTGTCTCAAGAAGCATATGCAGTCGGGCTTGCGGGCTTTGATTGATTAATTTGTAGGGCTTCACGTTCCAAAACCACGATATGATTATAAGAGACACCGTAGTAGAGGGCTCCGGAAACTTCGACCACCTGGGATTCTTTAACGTGCACCCAAATCTGAGCAAACGGGCCTACAACATTTCCGCCGCCATCGGAAATGCAGCCGCCGCAGCCGGGATTCGATCCTGCGACCTGTGAGTCAACAGCCGAGTACCTTAGCCACCAGACCACCGCGGCGGGGCTGGGCTTGTGGGCTATTCATAATAAAAAATAATATATATATATATATATATATATATATATATATATATATATATATATATATATATATATATATATATATATATATATATATATATATATATATATATATAATATATATATATATATATGTATATATATATATTGTGAGCGCGACTAGCGAATGACTCTTCATTCTCTTTAGATATCATCATCACCTGTACAATCTTCATCATCTGTAAATATCATCCCCAGTGTGATTTAGCTCGAGCCTGGCTGAATAAACTGGTTCCTCATAAGTGGTGGACGGTGTTTTTCGTTCCCTCAAGCCCTCTCGTCCGTTCTCGCTGGAGCTCCGCTCGGGTCTTCGCACACAAGCCCCAGCCATGGCGGCCCAAGAAAACACTGGCCCATCCAACGTCGCCGTCCTACTGCAGCCACCGCCACCCGCTCCGCCCAACAACATTTGCCTGCATGATCCACCTGTGTTTTTCGGTCTCCGAGGCGATGATGTCAAAGACTGGATCAAAAACTACGACCTCGTCAGCGATTTGAACAGGTGGGACAATTTACAGAACTTGCGCAGCGTCCAATTTTACTTGTCCGATGTTGCGAAAACTTGGTTCTGGAACCACCACCCGGATCTTTCCGACTGGGACACTTTCGAGCAACGAAGTCGACAAATATTTGGTGCCCCTACAGTTTGCACTGAGGCAGCAAAGAAGAAGCTCGCTGAACGTACGCAGCTGCCGGGTGAATCTTACACCTCTTATATTGAGGATGGCCTTGCACTATGCAAGCGCTTTAACACCGGCATGTCTCAGAACGACCAAATACGCCACATTATTAAAGGCATTAACACCGTCGCCTTTAACGCCCTCGCCACGCAAAATCCTGCCACAACCCAGGACGTGATAACCATCTGTCAGCGACTTGACGAGCTTCAGTCTCTTCGCCTCTGCTCCGATGCCTGCACCCCTCAATTTGCGTGCGCTTATTCGCGACATCGTTCGTGAAGAGCTTCACGGGCGCTGCTCTTCCCGCGCTGCGTAAGTTACTCTCCCTTCTGAAAAAGATAGCTTGCGAGACCTGATCAAACAAAAGATCGCGTCAGACGTGTTCCAAGGGTCCCTGCGTGCCCTAGACGCGCACATACGTCGAAGTTGCCGCGCTCTCTGCCACACCCACCGTTTCTGTGCCTACACCAGCAGACCATACGTCTGTGGCTTCCCTGTCACCGCCAGTGCGTGCACCACCTTACTACGCACCTCAGCGCCCACCTCGACCCATCTGTTATTACTGCAGCTATCGAGGACATATTGCTCGGTTTTGTTGAAGGCGCCAACAAGACGAGCAACGTGGCTACGCTGCAGAAGAACATCGAAGCTTCCGTCTGACCATGAACTACATACGACCACCCTCCCGATCATCCTATTACTGTTCACGGTCTCCTACCTACCATACTGACATGCCTGGGAATTCCCGCACGTCTCGCCGCAGGTCGCCTTCGCCAGGTAGCCGTTCAGTGTCGCCTCTGTGGCCCGCCTCCCATTCAACGAACACCCACGCGGAAAACTCCCCAATGCAGTTTTAGGAGGGGAAACTGCATCCACCTGAGAGCTAACAATTCCTCCAGAACGGCCATCGAATTTGATAGTAGTGTTTGTACAAGGTGTATGTGTTGAGGTTCTTGTAGACACTGGCGCTGCCGTTTCGATTATTCGTGCTAATTTTTGTTCCCGCCTTCGAAAAGTCACAACGCCTTATGGCAGCCCACCTCTCCGTGCGGGGACCAACGCTCTAATTAGTCCACTTGCACAGTGTACTGTTTGTGTCTGCATCGAAGGGATTCGTCATCACATCGTTTTCGCGGTATTTCGCGAGTGCACCCACGCTCTCATTCTGGGGTGGGATTTCTTGTCTTCTGCGTCGGCTTCATATCTTGTCATCAGCGCCTCCTGCATCTAAATGCCACTGACTCCTCTCCGCTTGAACACGAGGGACGCATCCTCCTTGTCACCACGTCAGATTATGTACTTCGGCCATACATCAAAGAAATTATAAGCGTTAATTACACCGACATTGTGGATGGTGATGCACTGATTCTCCCTTAGGGGCATACCCCACGTAGGGGCATTGTGATCACACCAGGGCTTATTCGCTTCTTCGATGGGTCTACCTACCTAGCTGCCATAAATCAAACACCTGAGTGTGTACTGCTCCCCTGTGGCTCAACAGTATCTTGCGCAGTCGACAGTGAGCCTGTTGCGATTGTTACTCTTCCGAACAACAACCACAATGATGTCCCTAAGTCACAATCACTGCCATTCAATGCCTCTTCCACACCTGTGTCGGCAACCATAAGCACTGACTTAACACCTGATCAAACTGAAGATTTGCTCGCCCTGTTGAATAGACACCGTCCTCTATTTGACGTGAACACGCCCGCCCTGAGCATGAGTACTACCGCTACTCATACCATCCAGACTGACGGCTCTCGTATTGTACATCGGCGTCCATATCGCATGTCTCAGGCAGAACACAAGATCATCGAGGAAAACGTCTCTGACACGCTACGACGCAACATCATACGTCCTTCCTCGAGTCCACGGTCTACCCTAGTTGTTCTTGTTCAAAAGAAAGATGGAACAGTGCGTTTCTGCGTCGATTACCGTGCGCTAAACAAAATAACGCGCAAGGATGTTTATCCTCTCTCTCGGATCGACGATGCACTGGATTCATTACAGGGCGCAGAGTATTTTTCTATCCTCGACCTTAGGTCAGGCTTCTGGCAGATACCAATGTCGGAGTCTGATAAAGAGAAGACCGCCTTTTCAATGCCAGATGGGTTGTACGAGTTTAATGTGATGCCTTTTGCACTCTGTAATGCGCCCGCCACCTTCGAACGCATGATAGACGTCGTATTGCGTGATTTGAAATGGAAAACGTGTCTGTGCTATCTCGATGACATAGTAGTGTTTTCATCCACGTTTTCGCAGCATCTGCAACGTCTTGACGAAGACTGCACATGCCTTGCAAAAGCCAGTCTACAGCTTAACACGAAGTAATGTACCTTTGCTAGCAAGACAATCAAGAATCTCGGCCACCTCGTCAGCAAAGAAGGAACTCGGCCGGACCCTCGAGAAGCTTGCCGCCGTCCTCAATTTTCCTCGTCCACTACGTCAAAAGGACCTGCGCAGCTCTGTTGGGTTATCTTCTTACTTCCGGCGCTTCATACGTGGCTTCGCGGAACTTGCGTCTCCGCTCCATCAACTCCTCGCAAAGAACGTCCCCTTCATTTGGTCTGAAGACTGCAAAAGCGCTTTCACGGCATTGAAGCAAGCCCTCACGTCAGATCCGGTACTGCGCCACTTCGATTCCACCGCACCCACCATCCTTCACACCGTGGCAAGTAGTCATGGTCGTTGCTTACGCAAGTCGCACTCTTACCGCTCCAGAAAAAAACTACACTATCACCGAGCAGGAGTGCCTTGCTGTTGTTTGGGTAGTGCAAAGATTCCGACCATATCTTCACGGCCGTCATTTTACCATCGTTATCGACCATAACGCCCTATGCTAGCTTTCATCGCTGAAAAACTTATCGGGTCGCCTCGGTCGCTGGGCGCTTGCAGGAGTATGATTTCAATGTCGCCTACAGATCTGGCAAGAAGCATCAAGATGCCGATGCTCTTTGGCACTGTCCTTTGCCCAGCGGAAGCCACTCACCATCGATACTCCAAAATGACCGCACCTCTCCAATTGCAGTGCTAAGTTCATCACCTGCCACACTACCCGTCCTTGTTTCACAACAACGTGTCGATCCATACTGCCGCACCATTGTTGACCGTTTGACCGGCTCTACTACTCCTCCAAACGCCAGATTCCGTCGACAACTTAAACAATTCAAGCTTGTCAGTGGTGCTTTATACCGCTACATTTACCACATCAATGGCAACAAGTGGGTACCCATCATCCCACCTTCTCTGCACCGTGAAGTTCTGGAAGCCTTTCATGATGATCCAACCGCCGCTCATCTAGGCTATCACAAGACTTGGGACAAAGTACGAAGTCGCTGTTTTTGACCTGGCCTCTCTTCAGCCGTTGCTAAGTACGTCGCCTCCTGTGTCCATTGCCAACGGCGAAAACGATCCACAACTGATCCGGCTGGCTTAATGCAACATCTTCCTTTTCCAGCTTTGCTTTTTGAAGTCGGCGAAATCGACTTGTATGGCCCTCTTCCTATATCATCGAATGGCAACCGTTGGATTGTCACGGCCGTCCACCAACTTACCCGTTACGCAGAAATAGCTTCTATACAATCTGGGACTGCCACTGAGGTCGCCTATTCATTCCTTCGCCACATATTTTTGCGCCCTGGAGCCCCATGCGTTCTCCTGAGTGATCGTGGCAAAGTTTTTTTCTATTCTATTATCGACCAAGTTTTGTGTGCCTCCAACACTGTTCACAAGACCACTTCCAGTTATCAACCGCAGGCCAACGGATTGACTGAACGGTTTCATCGGGCATGATCGCCATGTACATTCACCCCAACCACACGAACTAGGATGCAATTCTACCCTTCGTGACATTCGCCTATAATACGGCTGCTCAATGCACTACCGGCTTTTCTCAATTTTTTCTTGCCCATGGTCGTTCGCCGAGTTTCGCTCTGAATGTCTCTTTCCTTTCGGTCCCTGCACCTTCGACGGCTCCTTTCTCTGAAGAATTTTTATCTCGCCTCGCACACTGCCGTCACCAGCCCCGCGTTGACACCGGCCTCTCTCAAGACACTCGAAAATCTCGCTACGACTCGTCTTGCCGTGTTGCGAGTTTTTCCCCTGGTGACGAAGTTCTTTTATGGACTCCACTACGCGTCCCCGGCCTATGCGACAAAATCATCAGTCGCTTCATTGGGCCGTACACGGTGGTCGAACAGACATCTCCTGTCAATTACCACGTTTCTCGTCAGAGCTAATCCTGATCATCGTTGCCGAGGAACACAGATAGTGCATGTATCTCGTTTAAAGCCTTATGCGCGACGCATTTCATAATACTGTCCGCTTTTACCGCGCGGGGAATTAGTGTGAGCGCGACAAGCGAGTCAGCAGCCAAGTACCTTAGCTACTAGACCACCCCGGCAGGGCTAGCAAGGCACATTGGTGCAACCAGCATTATCTATGTCTGTGTATTATATGTATCGTATATACCGTATTTACTCGCATATTCCTCGCACTTTTTTGGGCGGAAAACCGATGCAAAGTTGGGGGGTGCGAGAATTACGCGAGGAAAGCTTTCCATGAAAACGTACAGAATGAAAAAGAAAACGAAGTGGCCGCAAATCGGGATTCTCACACCAGCAACTAACAGCAAGCATTGAAAAGTACTAATGAAAATTTACCTCAACAATAAAAGCAGAGGTTCAACACAAGGCAAGATTTATTTAAGACACAGAAAGTGCAAGCAAACAGTCGAGAATTAGAATACCATATATTGCAAAGCTCGTGGGCGTTGCGGTAGCGTTCGTCACTCAACCAAAGCCCTCAAAAGGTAAGCGTAGCATTGGGCTGATGGCTATTTAACAGAATCGTTCGCTGTTTCCTTCTGAATAAATAAAGTTTACCATCAATCCCAGTCTTAGGCACACGGCAGGCCCAACGTGTCTTGGTGGCTTTCAGCTGCTGTCAACAGTAGCGAACACAAAACTCGTCGACTCCAAAGGGCCTACCGGCGGCCCTGTTGCCGTTGTTTAGTGCAAGATCAATCACTTTCAACTTTAAAGCAGCCGTGTAGCTTCAGTATCACCCTATAATGTGACAATATTATTGACACAACATACAAAACACACCGCAACGCACACAAGCCGCTTTGGCTTGGATTGAATCTCCGTGCAATAATGTGCGCTTGATGCTTAAGAGATGGCGTCAGAAGGCGCGCGTTATCATCATCAATGGCTGGAACGAGCAGACGATGTTATTGCGGCAATTTTCAGGGGTGCGATAATTATCCGAGGAAAAAAAAAATCGTATTTTTGTTGGGCAATGTGGGGGGGTGCGAGAATTATGCGAGTGCGAGGATTACGCTAGTAAATACGGTATATATTTATTTTAAATTTCTATTCGAGGTGTGCAGGAACTTGTGCCCACTTTTGAAAACAAGCCCTTTGCCGAACGTTCAGTGCTTTGCACTTTTTGTGCAAGTGTCCTCATGCTTGATGGCTCACTACACTGTTTTCTGTACGATCGTATGGTACCATCAGTTGGTATTAACACATTTCCGACAAAGCAAAACAAAGAAATCCTAAACAATCGTAAAGACCCAAACAATGTCGGGCATAATACAGATATCAGAACCAATGTCAAAATAAGATCAACTGCTAGTGCATAATGTGCCTTATTTGTCAAGAACAGGTACAGAGAGAGACGGGAACAGTGTGGCGTAAAGCACTGTTGGTAGCTACCTGTGGATTTGGCCATTATTGTGGAAGTATTCGAGACCTTTAAGCACCTCCTTGAGAACCGTCGCGATGGTGGCTTCGTCGAAGACTCCGTGTTTACAGTCTTCCGTTTTCATCTTGTGTTTGATGATGTCCAGCAAGGAGCCTGTGAAGCGTTGGAAAAGAACACTGATTCTACCCAGAAGCCTCACACTAAGTGCACTCTCACTTAAGCAATAGGACGGGAACTATTCAATTAGCGTTCAGAGGGACTAGGCCTTTTCTGTGTTCTGCACACATAATAATGCCGAACAATGCTTTTCTTGTATGAAAGCAGCAAGGCAAATAACGCTCTGCCCGATATCTATACACTCACCGCCAGCCAGAAGCCTGATGACGAGCCAGAGCTCTTCCTTCACCACAAAAGAGGTGTAGTAGGTGACCACATTTTCATGGTGGCAGGCACTCATTGCTTGGATCTCTTTCTGCAAGACAACGAGAAAGAGCAAGGAATGTGAGCACTGAAGCAAGAGGTGTCCTATATTGCGCAATCATAAAGACAGGCCACCCACCTACTAGGGCCAAGTTATGGGCACAAGGCAAACTTCATTAAAAGATGGAAGATTCAGTTACTGTGAACCAAACAGTTCAACAGCTTCTGATCAAGTGACAAATAACAACACTCTGCCAACAAGAAACTGGAAACACGGCTACATTATGAGTACCATGTTGCACTGCAGATGTGTGCGGCCCTTTGACCTGTCTATCTCTGAGCTACGCAAATGCAAAATGTAGAATGTTGATTGAACTGAAATAAAAGGAAATGTACAGTCTGTTTTGCAACCAAATCTTTACATAATTTGAAAGAATAGCACCACATAGGACATCTTTTATATTATAGTGAAATTCATTATAAAAGATCTGTATGTTGAAATGCGTCTAAGCATGGCATATGGTGCATGCAGAGTTCAATTCTAAAGCGTCATTCACCATTCTAAATGAATCTGAATATTTTGAAACTTGTGAAATAAACCTCCTCCTCTATTTCAGTGAATTAACAGGTAACATAAAAGTGAGACAACTTTGATAAGTGCTGAGATATTACCATATTTTCTCGCATATATCCACCCAAAAAAACAGAATAGTGTGCTTAATATTCGAGAGTGCAAGTAATATGCAAAGGTTATACGTGTAGTTCTTTTTCCTTGTTGCAAAGTTTGAGCTAGTGGTGTGGGCTATATGCAGGAATGGGTTATGTGCAAGAAAACACAATACTTTTCACGCAATACCTTTTTCACGTGTTTAGCAAACTGGTCATCTGTGCAGATGCAGCAATACACCAGATTTGCTTAGAAGATAATTATTCATAAATCAGTCTCTCCGTGTAAACCACAACAGCCATGGCGCATAGTTTGAACAGATCTCTTCCAAACAGGCAAGAGATATCTTTTTCTCTTCAGGTACATGCTGTGAATGTAGGTTCTGTTTCTGCTTCACAAAAATCCTGGTTTGGGTTCAACAACCTGCTAAGAACACGGATAGGACACTACTAAAATATACTACGTGATAGTTTGAGCAGTGTAATTCAGAAAAATATTTATGCATATTCCACAATTTAATTGAACTCGAGATGGCAAGAGATTTTCCTGGATGAGAAAAGCACTGCCTCCCAATGGTTTCTTTGTGATCCGAGAGAAAGGTCACAGACTAATACTGAACTATGCACACTGGTTGAGAACACTAACCAGGAGCTCTTCCATGCTTGTGTTCCACTTTTCCAGGTTGATGCGCTTGATGGCACATCTCTCTTTCCTGGGCTTGCAGTACGCTGTGTGAACTGTGGCAGTGGCACCGACACCTGCGTGAGACATATGAAAAAGAAAAAAAGCTATTGCGTTCAAAAGAGGCGAGAACTCTCTTCTGGAAAGATCAAAAGAAAGCTCAGGAGAAATCATTTTGTTTAATTCAAAAGCACAAATACTATGGAAAGTGGTAATGAAAGAAGATGAAATTGCAGATGGGAACTGAATCTACGTGTTCCACGTTACGAGTGCAACGTTCTACATATGAAGCTACTGAGGCAGCAATCCTCCTGCTCATGTATTCTTCTAATTAGTAATTTTCGGGCATTCAAAATTAGCCCTATGAATCTTAACCAATATAGTCCGTGGCCAAGGTGTTGGATATCGGATATCCTCTTAACAACACGCATGATCATGTGGGTGTTTTTTAAGAATCGTTAGTACCAAGACTGTCTCTTTCAGCACTTGTGTCATTATATTAAAATATTGAAGGTTACTAGAAAGACATAGAAGGCTGAATCACTGCAGAATTAAATGCAGTATTAATAAGCAGTTGGTGCACGAATTTTGCCGCAAGGACAACTCTCTCATGCAATGGAATCCAATCCTGAATTCCCTGCTTTTTGTAAGCTGTAAATTGCAAGAGCATCAAACTCTCAAAAGTCACCACGTTTTAGTTTTATTTATTACAACACCTGCAATGCTCATTAAAGGTTCAGTACACAGAAAACTAATCATAGGGATCTACGCATTGATGAATAAACAGTTAACATCTGACTGACACTACCTGACCGATAAGATTCTTGGTACCAACCAAGTCGTGCCGGTATGCATGTATTTTTGTGTGCGAGTAAAACGCACCTTATAGCATTTCTTTTATGCGCACAACACAATTTCTTGACAACCCTCCCAAACGAAATGCTAATTGGATATTGCATGATTCAATGTACACAGGTCAGATGTTGGCATTTTTTTGAAACCCTCCAAAACGATGTGCCTTTAGAAATATTCCATAATCTTGGTTGTGCTTGTTCAACCCTCAAGATGAAGTGCTCATGTGCACAGAACACTACTCATTAAATGAAATGAGATAAGTTTATATCATCAGCATCTAAGTTTGCACAGAAAGTGACTTTTAATTCGTTATTTGAGAAGGAATATGAAATCCACTGAGAGACTTTCAAATTTCACTTTCTCGAGTTGCACGCACTTTACAGAGCCAGTTTTATTAAAACGCTATTGGTAATTTAAGACGTTACCAAGAATAGCGACATAGAAAAGTCCACAAACACAGAACACACAAGTCCAGCGCAGAAACTCTTTCAATACATTCACATTCATGATAACGGCAGAGTGCGTGGCTTTTGCGCAGCACAGCGTAAAGTGCAAACCTGTATGGCCAACTGAGACATATCATGGACAGAGTTAGCGGCACAGCTCGTTCTATATCACTGTGACTTATGGGTTTTCTTTTTCTTTTTGCTGAGCTGTCCAGCCACACAATCTGGCTGCCAGCATTTGGATACCTGTACACGACACACCTATGTGGGCAACATTACATGCGATGCTGCAGTGAATGTAAACATACTGGTAAAGCCGTGGCAATGAGACACACAAGCAACCCATCCCACACACACGGCGAAATGATCCCTGAAAAATGACACAAGCAAACAGTACACAGTGCAATGTCACGATGCTAACAGCTACAATAAAATAACAAAACAGCATGATTCTCGCAGCAATGCGATAAACTATGAAAAACGTGAAACGTTGGATAAACCGCTACAGTTTGCCAATGTAACAATGCAGCTCATAAATTCGTCTTGCAGACCTGGCAACAGTCGAGAACAGCTTTATAATGTCCAATTGCGTGCAATATGGATTTGTGTCGCAGCTGCCCGTTTTCGCACACGCACTTGTTTCGAAATTCGTAAATACGACAGACGTATTTTTCCCCCAACACCAGCGAGTAGGCAGCATAAATGACATGTGAAAACAGGCATTACATTTAACGCATGCACAGCTGTCTCAGAGAAAAGCAAACTCTCAAAGAGGCAATATGCTGCACGCAAAATTAGCTTTGCCTCGTACACTTTAGGTTATATGAAGCAGCGAGGAATCATACAGGATAACTATGATCAAATAAAGACACATATCAAAGCATTGAGCGTGCTAACTGTTCCCTCCCGTATTTTCGCCCCGTGCTGCAGCAGTGAACGCGGATGTGATGCCTTTCGTACAAACGCTTAAAGACAGAAAATATCGGATAATGACTCAGAAGGTCCATGGCAATGACCTACTACTCCTCATAACTTGGCTGGAGATAAGCGCAAACGAATCGCAATCCGATAACACTCGTTCCGCGCTCGACCTTATCTGAACAAAAAAGATAATACGAAAGAAAAAAATTTCTGGACACATAAAAATGCTTCACGTTCGAGTTCCTTTTTTTTTTCTGATTTGTTTAGCTCACAGACAGCGGGATTCCAGGGTACGCTACGGGCAAGTTAACGGTTCGGTCCATAGTTTCGCACAGTTGTCCTGCAGGCTTTGCCTGCAGGACAACTGCTCCCTAACGTAAGCGCTTAAGCACCCGCGAAAAAAAAAAAAAAGCGAAAGTGCAAGACAGCTTCTCATTTTCCGAAGGAAACAGCTCAGCATAGCGTTCGCAGCGCACATAAAAATAGCAACACCAGACCGACGCGGCCATAGCGTACACAAGCGACACGAAGTAAGCGCAGAGATCGACGGAATCAGAAATACGTCCGGGTATGTAAACAATGCGGCGTGCGTGCATGAAAATGCCAGCCGCCCCGTGTAGAAGCGGAACGTGAACAATTTTTTCGTCAAGGTAAGCTATGGCACGACTCCCGCGCAGGCTCGACAGAGTCGCCGGCCTACAACAAAATCGCTAGCAGGTAGAAAATAAAAGTAACCCCGTCGTTACGACAGCAACACCGAAATACGACGATAATTCTGTTGTATAAGTGCTGAGCATTGATATTAAACAGCCGGTTCGGCGGCGAAGCTGCCTTGAGGAATGTTCTAGGAAAGGCCAAAAGCCCAAAGGATGCGGCTATGTATGAATGATGTAGCACCGACTTGCGTGAAGGCATTTCGATATGAGCGGCCAATGAAAGATGCGCAGACGGAAACCTTTAGCTCTAAAGCGATTCACGCTGCTTCGCTGTTCTATGGGCGACAGCAGACGACGTAGCGGCGGTCGACCGGCGTCTCAGAAAATCCGTCCCCAAGAACGGTCCAACTGGTTGGCGATGCCGCTTCACAGAAAACCGCGCCGACGTCCGTACCAACGGTGCCAGCGCGAAAGACGTCGGCGCCTTAACATCTCGGTCAGGTTATTGCACGAGCGCCCGAAACGAAGACTGTATTACTCAGCGCCGACGTTGCTGCCTGGCTGCAGACTCATGCCGCACCGCACAGGAGCCGTTCAAGTTTGCCGGCTGCGAAGCGACGAACGAGAGACCGCACCGCGGAGGTAAACAAACGCAGAACTAACGCCGCGCTCACAACTATTCGAGTAAAGGGTGTTACGGCTAGCCCTTTTTAACCATTTAACGAAGGGACGACACTCACCGATCACTTCGCCGAGCTCGTAATCCTCTTTCAGGTTGGGCCACGAACTCGACGTACAGCCCGCCTCCGCCATTTTGACAGCGAGAAGATCGGGAACGATGCTTCCCCGCCTAGCGGCCTGATCTCGAACTCGCTGCACATGGTTATTCGAGAGGGCGATGGCAGCCGACTCGCGCCGCCTGTACACCCCGGGAGAACCTTGGATCGGGATGCCGGCTTTCTCTGCCACGCGGGACGACCCTTTCCTGCAGAAAAATATAAAGAGATAAAGTAATGAGAGACGCTCTAACCATTTACGATGGTAACTGACACAACCAACGTCAAGAGGAAAAAAGAGAGAAAGAAAACTGGCGGAACGGGGAAATGGGTTCCTGCTGATATAATATTTATTGAGTCCACGAACAAACAATCGTGAATGGTATCGTTAGAAGCTTCCGAGGTTTCGCTCGATTGTTCTAGATTACTTCGGTTCATTCGGTGAGTAGCCTTGTCGTCCTTCTTTTTTCTTATCTTGAAAATAATGTGAAAGTCCTTCGGACGCTCACTGCAAGTCGACACGTCGGGCTTTGTTGTTCCGCTATCAACCCTTTCTTATGGCGACATCATTTATTCTTGATATTTTCTGCTCTCAAGTGGCGTACTTCAGACAAAGCAAACGGCACTTCAAAGGAAAGCGGCGGACGTTGTTGATAACGAAACTGAAAGCCGATCACGTGAAAACAGCACGGTTCAAGGTGCGCGAGTACGATTTAGTTTTTTGCTACGTCTGGAAGCTCTGGATGTGTTATCTTATGACAGAAGGTAAACATTACCCATACCAGTTTTATGAGAAATGTTTTATGGGATGTTTGCACTACATAATTCTAATCGGAAGCTGTCCTTTCATAACTGTGTATTTGTTTCTTTTGCGGCAATGGGTAAGGAAAATATGAAATTTTGATGTTTTGAATTTAGGTATTTGATACCACAGCCACAATGTCAACGTAAGCCACAAATCTCAAAAACTTTTGTTTCTTCTTGTTTCGATGAGTTGGAAGGTTCTGGGGGGTAAGAGATTTCGGGTGATTGAATCAGTTTCCTTACAGTATCCAAGTCCGTAGTCCGTGATGATTTTATCTACACGGTTCACGGAATTGAACAGAACGGTTGGTTACATGGAGGAAACCTCAGACGGTGTTTTTCAACGCCCTGTTTAAGGTAACGTGGAGAAAAAGGTAACGCCGAGGCTAATATTAGGCAAGTAGGCTGAAATTCTGCTTGGGAAGCGGCGATAACGCAATTGCTATAACTGTAATTCTCAATCTGACCTAATTCATAGCGATTCGCAAACAGACATCTGAAATCTGGCGAGCCGCAAGGGACGTTCTGGAGGTAGAAACTGTCCGAGTACCACACTTGGAAATCCAAGGCACAAGGCGGCTCGCATGAGTATTGTTCGAGGTTGTGAGCCACCCGTTTCGGGAAAATCAGCAGAATATAGAGCCTGGTGTCCTTTTACGACAGAATAAATCATTATAAACTACACGCGAAGGCTTTATTCAACCTGGTTGACCAAGGCGCAGAAATGCATCCGGAGAAAACTTCAGACGCGACCTATTCTCAGCCCATCTGTGTTGAAGTGCACATATACCCGGAGGAGATTAAACCTCAATGCATATGTTACCAGGCAAGGGCAACATCGATGACCATATACTGTGGGAAAGTGGCATGGTGCCGTTATCGGCAGATATTAAGCATGCCTGATCCTTCTTTCGAGCAGTGGGAGCCTGTGTTTGCCAGCTCGGAGCCAGTCGTCCAGACAAGGGTAGTAGTCCCTGGCAACCTTGGGTTGATGATCGTATAACATCTAATCGTTCGCAGCTGCATTCTGACGAAATAAAGTTTTTCCGTCCATCCATTGCACACAAGAGTAATATGTTTAAAGTGCAAAATTTGTGATGGTGACAGCGAATTTCATCCACATGGTCTGGACATGTCCGACTCAGTGTGACAGCTAGCACACTCTAGAATCCTGGGAGGTTGTGCTCCACAGCCCAAACCCCGACGCCCAGCAATACATCATCGGTCAAGCCCTTGCTGATACCGTGTCTCAAGAAGGTCCGGCCGACGGCTATGGGCGACGAGGTTGACAAACTTCTCGTTTGACGTTCATTGGCTAGTGTTAATGTTACATTTACCGCACCGCCGCAGTGGTCTATAGTGGCTAAGGTACTCGGCTGCAGACTAGCAGGTCACAGGATCGAATCCCTGCTGCGGCGGCTGCATTTTCGATGAAGGCGAAAATGCTGTAGGCCCGTGTGCTCAGATTTGGTACAAGTTAAAGAATCCCAGGAGGCCGAAATTTCCAGAGCCCTCCACATTACGGCGTCTCTCATAATCATATGGTGGTTTTGGAACGTTAAACTCCACATATTAAGTTATATATTTACCTTTCTCTCGTGTTTCGATCATTACATATAAGTACAATCCATTGAAGCCTTGCGAGTCAACTCGCTCGTTCTTGTCGATCTTCGGTGATAAAACGTTTACTAAGTGCTAGTAAATGGCATGAAAATCCTTGATGTAACGTAGCTGGCTAGCACGTAAAGTTAGCGGCAGCTTCGTCGCCAGCAGTCTTTCGGGTGCCAGGGGAAAGGTGGTGGTGTTTATCTTTCCAGAATTATGTCATCTTACCTCCTCTTATCACTGTAACAATGCAAATCACTCTTTTGGTACTTTTTAAGCGTGTTAAACTAAATATCTCACAGGAAGAAAAATAAACTGTACTATATAGACCAGATTCAAACCTTAGTTACAACTCAAATATTGTTTTTTATGCTGTTTAGATTCTTTCCACTACATTTATTTGACGTGATGCGAATTAAATAACTGCATGGGTGCTTTTTAAGCAATACACATTTTTTATATATAAAAACGCAACGACAGTCACGCTCCTGTCATCTTCGCACTAGAACTCTTCGTCGAAGTGGAAATCCTTTGCCGAAGCTTGAGTGACACTAAATTAGCTAATTGACAAAAAGTATACAATCAACTTTTAATTGTTGATTTCAAAAACCTTGTTTGTAATCCGGAACTAGTAGGTCATCGCATTTCATTTTTTAACGAACCAAATTCAATTTTACCGTTCTATCCAACTGTCTAGCCGCCTGTCCGGGTACTCTCACTGTCGCCTCTTTAAATTGTCATGTATACATATACAGAAATTGGCGTAGAAGGAGATAGATGAACGTATTACAAGCACGTTTATTAGGTCATGACATGATTAAGGTTACATGCCGGTCGCGTATACGCCACGAAGCTCATATAGAACTATGCACAACCACACCATGGAGTCTGAAAGAGCGCAAGCCAGTGCTCAAGAAGGCTTCGGAAAAAGTTTCTATATGCAGGTGCCATGTAAGGGCAGCATCAGCTGCGGTTGCAGTGTTTGCCATCTGCCTTCATAACGACGTGATGAACATCACAGGTGTTCATCTATGACGCCACATGGTGTAACGCTGCTCGACACCGGTGGAATATACGCCGGCGACTGCAGCACACCACTGATACGCACATCACTAAACCGTGGCGTGCAGTTTATTTTGGCAAAATTGAACTCCCCGCATGCAGTGACGGGAGCAGCGTTGTGGGTGGGCGAAGAAATCCTGATGGACGCAAAGGACAAGCATCACGAATGTCTACACGACACCGAAGTTATAGATACGCGGTAGAAGATTTAAGAACTGCCAAAGAAGATGAATGGTGGTCGGATTGCCTGTGAAGGCAGCTAAACCGCTCAGCATGAAAAATACTTCTTGCTCTACTAAATCAACAAACCCAGCGACCGATCGACCGATTATCACTAACCATTCGTTAATGTATATGCAATAACGTTAGCCTTTCGTTGGTTTGCAAGAAAAGACCTTGCGACAGGCTTTTCGTTTTCGACCCAAAGTCAGGATTCGACAAGAAAAAATAACGCCGAATTAGAATTATGCAATTAAATAAAACCTGGCAAAAGTTTCTTATGCATTGAACAAGATTGCGGAATACATGTGCACAGAGCAATCTAGCAGCCTTATTCGAACAAAAGCTGGATTCCGGGACATTTCGTCGGAGTTGTCTGCTGTGTATCCAGTTGAAGGCCGTTGAAACGATGCATTGATGAACAAATTAGTTCGTCATAACCGACATTCGTTATAACAGTTTATGTAGAAATCGCCACGTCAAATCACCGATCTAGCTCAAGCCAAACTCCCCGGCGCAAAAACGGGTTATATTCCAGGCTTTAAACCCACTATAAACGATGTAATCGTTACCTACCTCCTCTGGAGATTTAAAATTTCAGTTCAGATGCGGTCGCGTGACCGGTCAAATGCGCTTTTGTTGCACTGTTTAACCAAATTTCCGCAACTATAACGAACGCTTGAAAAAAAAAAATGTGGTCGTGATATTAGTCTCTCGCTATTTCATCTGCTTTATATGCTATACCATTTTAGCCTTGATTTTCGCGCGAACCAAACAAACATCGTTATACCGTAAGAGCGAAATGTGACAGCCACCACGATATCGCCGTGGCTCTCGCATTTTTGGTTGTATCATAAAAAAAAAGAAGTGTCACTAAAATAAAGCGTGAAGAACCAATGTTCGTATTTAGATTGCTGCAACCGATAATCTTCTACATCAGTGTTCGTTATAACGAGTATCCAGGGAGGCCGCACAACTGTTTGCAGAGGGGTGCATCCAGCATATGCAGTCCTTGCTCCACTGCCGTGACATGACCGGCAAGGAGAGCGTGCCAGTCCGCCGCGGTGGTGTGGCGGTTATAGTGTGCTCGGCGGCTGGCCTGAAGGTCACGGGTTCGATTCCGGCGGTCGCATTTCGAATGGAGGCCCGTGCACTGTGCGACGTTTAAGAACACCTGGTGGTCGAAATTTCCGGAGCCACCCACGGCGTCTCGCATAATCATATCGTGGTTTTGGGACGTAAAACCCCAGATATAAATATTTTCATTGTCCGATTTCTAATAGCATATTCATTAAAAAAACCCTGGAGTTTCAGGGAGGGGAAGGGGGCTGTCCGATTTTCAGCCCCCCTTCCCCCGTCCTGTGAAGGTCTCCTTTTTGGGTACGTTTTAGCCCTGAGTTTTTATTTTTTATTTCTTTATTCTGTACAGATTATTTTCGGTCGCATGTGATCCAGAAAGGCTGTTTCACATCATCATCATCATCATCATCATCATCATCATCATCATCATCATCATCAT